CACCAGTTCAAAATAATTTCTTACGGTGTTAGAAAGATACTTATGCAGTTTAACATATTTTTACTTACAATTACAGCTACCTTTGCCATCATCTATGTAAGCCTATAACATACTGTTTAAACTGCTGAAGAAGGACTGGTTCCTCCAAGGGGCAATAACAGCTTAACTGAGTCATAGAAAAACATACTAACTTATACTTTTATGTTAACCCAATATAACAGAGCTCGCATCCACAAAATAATTCTCAGATGACTTGGTGTACTTGTCTATAACTGCTTTATTAGTAATGTTGGTTATGATAATTTATTTTGAAGAAAATATTAATATATTTAAGTTTTACCTGGCATCTGGAGGGCTCCATCAAGAGTGCTGACAACATTGGACTGACATGAACCATTATGTTTATTTCCAACTGCAATCATTTGTTTCCAGATTGTGCCGTTAGCACTTAGTGAAGACTGTGTCAGTCCTGTCGTAACAGGATGTTCTTGTATAATTACAGAAGAAGGTGTGGTAACTCGACATTCTGAAGACAAAGAGGCTATACTGCGAACAACCCTTGTAATGACGGCATTGGTTTTACCCGATGTAGAAGAGGTAGGTACAGGTGTACTTTTTCCCACTATCAAAGTCTGCTGAGAATTATCCTCTTGTGTGGTTTGATTATTGTTTGCGACAGCAATACTGTTCCCGTCCTGAACTTCATTTCTAATCTTACATGTACTCAAGCTGAGATTTTCATCTAACCTTACTTTAATTTTTGCATGATCTGACTGGACATATTCACCATTTGCGATAATGCTGTTGTCCTTAAACGTCACTGAACCATTGTTTTTTTTAACTAAAGTATGAACCACTGGATTGATACTAGATAATCCTAGAAATGTCTGATGGTGTGTCAAATCTCCATTCAGGAAAGTCTTGGTTTCACTAGAGTTCTTATCTAAAAGTGTCGAAGATGGACAATTTGTAACTGGATGAGATGATGAGACAGTGCTTGATGATGAGGATATGTTGCTACTTGTCATACAGGACAATGGTTTTGCACTTGAGACTGGGCTAGTTTCACTCGTAGATGAGGCTTGTTTTTTAACCAAATGTTTTGCAATACTAGACTGTAAGGTCACTAAGCTGGTTAACCACTGTCAAAAAATACCATAGTTACTATAGTTAGAACATCTGAGTTAAACATTGATTTATAATGGTATTTAAACATCTTAAATCTACTTTGAATAAAATAAATATCTTAGAAACATATTTCACTTTAACTAGATACAAGTAATTTTCTAGTCCAACTTTAATGCTCAATGATAGAATTAGGTAAGTAACTAATTAGTTAATATAACTGATTACTTATGAGCATCAAGTACATTGCTTAGTTTCACAGAAAATTATCAGTTAACCAAAAGTTTTCCTAAACTGAAAATGTATTTCCAATAATACTAACTTCTGGTGACACTACAGCTATTTCTCAAACTCCAGAGTTTTCACTCTTTGCCCATCTAAGCATTGAAAATGCTTGCTCCAGTCTTTTATACCCCACTCAAATGCCCTTGGCAAATTTCTCCACCAACTTCAATGCACCCTCTATCTAGGTACTGTATATAAGCACCTCATTCAGATAATGTAATAATTTTTTTGAGACATAAACCGGCTTTTAGTGGGGAGGTAGGACAAGAGAGTGTGTCAGCGGAGGTAAGTATTATTGGAAATACATTTTCAGTTTAGGAAAATGTTTACTTCTAAAACATATTTACAACCACTGGCATTATAGTTAGAATCCAACATTAAGAAGGTGGAGGGGCTGGTGCAGGTATGAACCATACAGAAAGTGTCTGTATAGAACAGGAGTGTACCAAGATAATGATAGCACAAGAGTGGTGAAACCGTACTACATCCAGAACAGGTATGCTCTTCCCCTGGAACTCAGTTCCTATATCAAAGGTGGAATAGAAAATGAGTAATCATCAGTATAGTCCAGCCCCAACCAGATAGCTGAGGTTCCACAACTCGGGGGGTTGGAATTAAGGGGTCTTGGTCTCTATATCCCACATTGGCTAGGGCTATTGGACCGCAATGTTATATATACTTTTGATTGGATCCCAACCTGTAGCCATAGAGTGATGCATTTTGCACCAGCGGAATCATTACGAGAAAGTAAGCAACACCAAACTGTCAAACTTTCTCCTCCACCTGAAGAAGTCCAAAAGACAACACCCCGGGCTCGGAATGACAGGATTGTGTATGCCGTACTCAACCAAAGGAACAGAACTCATCCGGTCTGAAATTATGAACATTCATCCTCACTCCCCAACCAAGTAGGCAAGGAGTATTCTGCTTGCCCACGGAATTATGGAGAGGACATGGAACATGTGCTCAACCAAGGACCTATGATAGGACAACTTCACATTTGGAATTATGAGGAGATAGTGCACCTCCTTCCATGAACAATATATGAAACCAACATTGATCAAAGAGAAGGGCCATGCACTTCTCAACTGGATAGCTTTGTGTCAAATCTAAACCAGAATTATGAGTATGCTCCCACGAAGGCAAGCTTGCCACTCCAACTGACATCTGGGAAAAACATCCAGGGACCCAAATAGGAGGGCCCTCAACTTTGTCCTCTTCTCAAGAGTGAAGGAATACACTCAAACACTCTGGAGGAATATATTCTTTCTGCCACCCCAGCGACCGGAAACTGGGGGTGGTAAGGACTCCCGAGCTCCACTAGTAGAGTCTGGGGGGTAATATATGTTGGAAAGTCCTGAGGAACTGTGCAAGTTCCCTACATTTTTAAAAGCAAACCAACCCTGATTTATTCAACCTGACGATCGACAGGATTCTCTTTAGCTTTACTCATGATAGTCCATGAGTGGCGGTCCATAATAATTAGGTAATACCATCCGGTAGGTGCCTATATGGTCTTATGGAACACCTCATTTCGACAAAGCCTGTTGCAACCTGTAGTATTGATAATGAAAGTGGTTGCTAGTGCAGAATTGAAAAGAGAAAGCATACCTGTCTGGGCAACACTCACCACAGAGTGGGATCCAGTGAAAAATAAAGGGACCCTGGAAATAAAAGAGTATATGACTGAGGAAAATACCTCTGGTTAAAATTTAACAAATGTGGTCAAAATAGCTACAGGGGGTAGTCGAAAACTCTCAGAAGAGGAAACTGCCAGATCATATAAGTAATGATATAGGAAAGTATTAGGAGTAGTCCACATACCAGCCCGCATAATGTTTTCCAAAGGGCAATCCAACCGGGCAGCTAATGATAAGACAAATCTGGTTAGATGCGACATGCAAAAGATTCCTCTCCTGTAATGATAATCTATTATAGACCAAGGGAATCAACTTACGAAGCCACCTCATTAGGGTAATGAGAGATAAGTCACGA